AGAGAGGAAAGGAGTAATAATAAAAATAAAAACCTTGGGGCGGCCGAGAGAGGAGAATGGCCTCTGATTATAATGGTGATGAACCGTGAACCTGAAGCCGAGCTCGTATATAATTTCGTCTGCTGCTGTTGCGCGTCCGCCGTCGCAGCCACTACGAAAACGCACTTCTTCCACTGACCATAAACACGACGTAATGCACACAACGCGTGCGCGTAACGAGACGTACCTATACCGAATGCGTGTGTCGGGTGTTTTGTGAACAAACTTTTGGGGCCTTTTGTTTTAGAACGGCGAACAACACCACGTACACGCGGGCCCGAGATCTGTACGCTCGTGTGGGATGTGTACCCGGTACACGTTTAACAGCGAGTGTACACAGTAGTGGTGCCAGGGACGGATCATACCGGGATATGTCTGGCACCACCAGCGGCCCTATTTTCGATCCGACCTTAGACGTAGTAATATAGTCATCTTTCACGAACAGAATTGTTTTAAAGCACTTCAGCCATAGCGTTGTAATAATTTAAAATCTTAAAATACACTGATTAACTCACATTATTATTATTTTTTTTTTTTAATCTCATTTCTTTGTCGCCCTACCTCGTAGCTGTCAGTCTTCTATTATACCCGCAACGGTTGTAGAATTTCGACTAACCCACGTGAAACGAGTCAGCAAACATGTGCGTACACGATACTATGTCAGTTTAGCAGATTGTAAACCGATTTAAAAGTCGTAAAAAATTAAGAATTAACATACGGTATGGGCGAAAACCGTTTTGTTTCGTCGCATTGAAAAACGTGTGCCCCGATAATAAATATTAATACCACGAACGCTCGCGCGTATGCAAAACCGATATCGTGTCTAAACAAATGTAATACCTCAGAATAATAATACGGGAGTCCGACAATGTACTGAGCCCGTGTGATACGTAATGTAATCAAATCGCACAACAATCCAGCTCCGTGCGCTATTATCACGTGTGGTGTATTTGATCAACTCGTTTAGTCCGTGAGGTGCATGTATGATACAGGCGCGCTTTGCAAGGGCGTACACAAGGGGGGGGGGGTTCGGATTCGGACCCCTCATTGAAATTTCTACATACTCAACGAATTAATAGTAAATAATATAATAATGGTACATAGTGTATTTTAATTTCTTATTATCTTCAATATACAAAGTTTATAGATTATATAATATACCTATAGTGTATAAACCATACTATAGTATATTAACAGTAATTTGTTATTGTTGAGTTAAACTATAATTATAATTAGTGAACAGGTAAAATAAAAATTTTGACCCACCCCATAAAAAATTCTTGGATACGCTTCTGGCGTTTTATACGTATTATTTTATTATTGTATCAATAGTAAGCACACGCTACATTGTAAGACACTGACGCGAGTGTAGTGTCGTCTAAGGGGGGGGGGGGGGTCCAGTGAACGATGCACAATGCACGGGTGTTTACGTGTACGATTCGCGATAGGGTCTACTTAAAAACACGTGTGCGGTCCTCCATCGTGTACGAATCCTACTCGACGGGTATGGCAGCGAACCGCGACCGAAGTACGCGCCGAGGAAGAACCGCGTCCGTCCCGTCACGATCCGGCGGCACGGTTCCTCGAAACCATATTAAATAATATTACCACTGTCGTCGTGCACGTGAACACTGAAATCGTATTAACGCAATAATGGTGACTAGACGGTGGTGGTGCCAGGCGAACGAAAATGAAAAAATAACTGCACCACTCGCGGATCGTTTAATGATAATTCACGAAAATAACAACAAGTTATCGGGTTTCAGATTAATGGAAGTTATCTGGGCATAAACGAGTTACGGGCAATAAAAGTAGGTGTACGTGGTGTTTCCGACGGCGTTGTACAATAATCGTATACACGCAATGTCGCCCCGGCCACCGCGCGTACCTGCCTACCAGGTACGTACGTATATATCATTAGCAGACGAATTTCACGAGTGCGCACCGCGTTGATGGTAACCGCATACGTGTATTATATTACATACACGCGTTTTTTCGACGGACGTTAAACGCGTACTAATGTAAATCCGAACATAAATCTTGAAACCGTGTGCGCAGTGCAAAATTATGGCTGTACGAAGTGTGCACGCCGCGTGAAATGAATCGAATATGATTGCAGTGTACGAGAGAGAACACAATGAAAAAAAAAACCGTATTGCGAGTAGTTGCAGTGTACATAACGCCCGATTTCACGTATATTATATTGTCGCACGACGTACGGCTTTAACAACATCACTTCGGGACGAACTATGTACACCTAGTGTGTTGAATTGAAATCCTCGCGGCGTTATACGCTCAGGAAAAATATGTTCGAAACAACTCATCGATATCCTAAGCATTGGTATCGTCGCCGTCGCCGCGGCGTTTCTGGTTTCGCGGTGTAAATTTATTAATTTCGAAATTAATTTCATTATTATGGCTTCTTTCGTTTATTTCTTGATCCTTCACACGTCTATGAAAACGTGCACATGTATTTTTAAGTGTTATTGTTATGTTAATAATAACGTTATACAGCACACAACGATCAACAATCGAAGAGAGACAATTACAAATTACAATACAGGTAACTTGCATAGCTCAATTTATAATATTATGAATCTGTATCGATCTGACCAACGGAAAATTGAAAACAAAATAAACCAAAAGGTATTCCATCCGTAAGGAACACATGGACGTTCCACGGCACGGGTAAACGGGAAAAGTAATCATTATCGTCTTAGTAAAACGTCCCCCTATAACGTGTACGGACACGGTGACGGATTTACAGAACAACAACGCGCATCGTTCAACATTCGTCTAAAGGAAACGTAATTAGACGAACATCCTGTGCGTCGTACATTATAATATATAATATACATGTTGTGATCGATTAGGCATCTATAGGTGGGATCACCAAATTTAGACGTCTTGACAGACGAAATAAAATTGTAATATAATATCAGGTTCGGGTCGTAAAACTAGTATGTTTAAAAATCTATAATACACGGTCGGATTTATGGGGTCCTATTGTTGTGGGCGTGTATATATATACACGCGAGGATGATGGAAAAAAAGGGAAAAAGAGAAATAATATTATGGTCAGCCGTCGCATTTTGGGGTAGGAGGACCTTGGGAATTGTGGGACGGAAAAAAAACTAATAATCAATCCACACGCTCGGTTCGTACACACAAACATACACACACATAGAGACACGCACTCTCGTTGAGTTGAGTTCCATGCTGCGTTTTGGTACGTCAAATCAAAGGAGCCGACCGACGACCGGTGCACCTACCCGCCACTTCAGGCCCTTGTCAAGTGATTTATACAAGCAGTTCTGCTTATAATGTGACCTGACGTAGCCTAAATACAGTCCTCGTCTGCTCAATAACACATAACGACCGGAGCAGCACCACAAAAGATTCAGCTCATAATCAATACGTGCATTCTACCAGCCATGTAACGCAGTCGTCACGACCGTGCCGATTTTAACGTTTGTTTAATTGTTATCGAGACGAAAAGAAAAAAAGAAAAAAATTAAATTGAAACAAATGAACAGAAACGGTCGTGCTACGATCATGTGCCGGTGCAGACTGCCATCATTAGAGGTCTGTGCGTGCGGGCGCAAGCGCCCCCTCCAAACCGGACTTCACATAAAGGTCGGACGCCCCGTCCTTGAACAAAACCGTCTGGACTGTCCGGTGAATACAATAATACCATAAAATATTGCCATTGATAAAATCGTGTACACCGAATACTCGTGTGTGTCTTGCGTGCTGTGCGGAATATCACGTAGCGCGTTAACATTCAGAACAAAACTTCAAAAGTAAACAATTTCCATCTCGGCGAGTATATATATTATGTTTTTAATAATCAAACACGAACACGGGTATCCGTAAATGTTATATAAAGTGCATTATATTAATGGGTCATAAACGCGAACATCATTAAATCCCCTTGCATATCGCAAGGGAATAAACTTATTAGGAACTAAAATATTATATAGCGCTGTGTATACGTGAAAACGAACCATTTTTTTTTTCTTTCTTATTTAGTTTTATTAGGCATGGATCGTAAAATATATGCAAAAAGGATTCAACGAAGAGATTTTGATCGATATTTAACATTTTAAGAACCAGTTTTCCATTAAACACTCGCCGTGCTTAGATTTTTAATTTATCAGACTTTTTTATCGTATTGTACTGTATACTAACCGATTTTCCACTATTGAACGATGATATCGGTATTTATGATACAATATTTAGAATACCGACGAATTAAAATAATTTTGATTTCTTTTTGTTGTACGTTTTTATAACTTGGACCACGCTATTTCCTAATCGTCGGAGCAGACGAATGTATAATTTAAAATACCATTTTCAATGACGAGCTATTATCGTTCTTAAAATACGAATTGAGAGGCACCTGTCAGGCCGGAGGAAACAATGATATACAGCAGTGTAATAATTTTGTCCGTTTTTCAAGGATAACGGTTTTCAACGTTTTTATTGCTATTATTCTCTGCAACGAACACGATGCACAACGTACGCATCTGACCACCATATGTTTTGAATTAATTATTTCTGTAACAACTAGTGTACGTTTTGTCCTCCCGAAACCCGCGATCGCAACGCGTGTACAGTACGCGGTCGTCAAAAGGATCTTTCGCGATCACTACGCAGACGTTGATCGCACAACGGTCAAACGCATTTTCGGTCAGACGAACGCATGGAATAAATCGATCGCGAGCACCAATTGGTCGGAATAACAACCGAGACGAGCGACGCGCTACTGATAAGGGTGTTGACCAAAAGCATGGAACGTGGTGTGGTCGGGCGGCTTTCGTGGAGCGTTCGCACGGTGCCGGGGAGAGACTTCAACGGCCGTGCCTCGTACGCCGCCGTGTCGGGGGTGGGAGGGTTAGGGGGCGGTACGAACGGACTGTAGCGGCGTTCGGAAGATAAGCGTGCACGAGGGGTGGTACCTTGCAACTTGATCTCCGTCTCCCAAAACTTCTGCAACTCCGTGAAATACTTGTCGAGTATGAACACCTTGGAGTGGCCCACGCTGGCCATCACACCGCCGAGTCCGGTAATCTCGTCCTGCTCACGGGCGGCGGACCCTGACCACTAAACGGTCGTCCGGAACCGAGTCATGACGATGTGCACGGGGCGCGAGGGTGGTGTGGATCGCGTACGATCGACGGCGGGCGCGTGACGCGAACCCCTCGGATCGGAATATTACAAAAGCACCGCGGCGGCGATCACGTAGACCTCATCGCACACGTGCACGGACGGTACACACACACACACACACACACATACACACGGTGACACAATCGCACGCGTACACGCGTACACACTGATACTCAACACCGGTACGAAAACACGATCGCACTCCGCAACGGGCGGACACAAACTGCGGTGGTTGCGCGTCGAGAGAGCTCCGGGCGGCGCGGACCGACCGTCCGGGAGGATTCTTCGACTATCGCGTACCGGCGGCGGCGCCAACTATCGATGTTACCTGCGCCGGGCCGTCGGCAAGCGCACACGCACACCACTCGTCAGGTTTCTTCCGTCCCGTGTCTTCGGGTTCGCGGTCCACGGCTGCTGCTACATTATAACATTATGTTTACTGCTACTCGGCCGCCGCGGGGGGTTAATCAAAATCAAGGTCATCGGTTCCTACTTTCTCGGTCCGTGCACACGCACACACACGTACATAAATATGATATTATAATTATTTTTATCACTATATTTATTTATTTTTCATCCGGAAACGGAAATACTACAACAGCGCAGTAGATCTCCGCGCGACCAGAACCGATGAAGCGATACGGCTGCGGAAGACGTGAACAAGACGACGCAATCGTCGGACGCACTGAGCACCGTTAATACGTTCGTTACGCCCGAAAACATCCGTTGCCGGTGCACGCGGGGCGTTTTCGTTTCATCCCGTTTCGCGTGTACACTCGCGTTGCGCGTTACGTGCCCGAGTACGTAGTGCTATGACGATTACTCGTTTGCTGCGCAAAGACGGCCCCGATCCAGATACGAATCGAACATTCGGAACACGAATGCGTGTGGCGGTGTGCGGCAACACGCGTGTTGCAGTTCAAACGGCATCGGCGTGTTAGATTATTGTTGTAACGCAGGAGGTACCGCCGGTGCACTGCAACAATTGGCATTTACCGTGCGTGCCGGGCGCACGTGCAAGCCACGGATGACCGCGAGGAAACGACGATTATAATCGTTTCGTCGTTTAATTAAATTAAATAGCTATATTATAGCTACATATTTCATGGTTATCTATTTCGTGTGATATGAATGGGCAGTGAATATTAATTTGGATTATTAAAACGGTCGATGTAAGATTACTAAAACGTATCTGAATATTAACATACGATACGAGCAGTGTCAAATGATATTCGTTGTCCGTGCATAATATATAGATACTTGTACTTGTGTCGAAGGAGCGAAAAAACACGCTGTTAAGAATACGAATAAAATTAGTATTTCTAGGACATAAAGTGATGGTGATCTAACGTTTTTACATTCTCGTTATGATAATAGTCGTGCTCACGAAGAAAGCGCAGAAAAAATGTCGGGAAAACAACGGGGTTTTTGGTATCGTTGAACATGCTCAATAAAAATTAAACTGTCTAATTAATGCAAGTTCATAAATTAAATTAAAAACACTACTATTTTATTTATTAGAAAAAAAAAATTATTTATTTTGAGTATGAATGATATCACCGAGTAAGTAATATTTTATTTTTAAATCAAAAGTATATCAAAATATTATAAGTATTATTATACTATAAGAATTATTATTTTAAACATAAATTTTGCGTTATTATATTTTTAAAGTGGTACATTGTTAAACTTACTGATATTAAAACCATTGTATGTGATTAAGGTTTGGTAGACCATTTAACTTTTTTATTTAGAAAAAATATTATCACTTCGTATTTGAGAAATTCTTTTGGACTAAACTTATGACAGCTAAAGGACGTTATTATTCATCAAGATATTGGAGATAATGTTAAAATAGTTGATAGAAATAGTTGTGTTGAAAGTCTAAGTTATTATATCATAAAAATATTTCTTTCTTCAAAAAACTGATCTCGATTAAAGAAATTTAATATGTTTCACGTTTTGTCTACTCTTTCTGTTTTCTGCTTAAACCACAAATAACAAAGATACTTGAAGTAAAATTTTCTTTCTAAAACGTTACATAACATTTTTAGTATTTTTTTTCACGTAGCGAGTTAAAAAAATTGAAAGCAAATGCATTTACAAACATAAATGGGAAAAACTGATAAATATAATCATGTCACGTAGGGTCTTAATAACTTTATGGGTTTACATTTTGTTAAATTATTCAATGAAATAAAATAAAAAAAATATGTTTTCGAGAGACCAGTTTCGAGGGTGATTATTAGTAAACTGCAGTAGTCGGATTACCAACAAGCAGGTATTATGTTTATTTTCAAGTATAATATTTCAAACAAAAAATAAAAATAAATTTGCATTTAAAAGAAAATCTTCATCTGAATACAAACAAAACATAACAACAAACACGAATATTTTATATTACGCATACCTATTGGCGACTAAATGGTACAGCATTCGCAATATACTATATACACATCGCGAGTGTAAATTCATCTATAAAACGCGTGTAAGCTTTTAGATTAATAAACATTGTTTACTGCACCTTGTATAATCATTGTATCCGTTCATTCATTAGTGATTTCATTTCGTGAGTTTCGCCAGTTAAGATTATTAATATTGAAAAGGAAAATAATATTCATGCTAGATAAAATAAAAAAAAAAAAAAAAATTAAACATTAAATAAGATTGCGTACTGACCACAATTTTTAAAAAATTACCAAAACGTAAATACTTTGAAATATGAATAGTCAGTTTATTAAGGTTACTATACATAAATACAAAGCAATTATCAACTTCTTTTTAGATTGCTTATGAAATTATAGATTATAAAAATATACTCCAAGAAACAGAAATTCAGCACGCTTGATAAGTGTTTTTGATAAGAGGTTTCTTAACTAGTTTTTTTTCACAAAACAAAATCCTTTGACGTATTGGTAAATGTAATGATAATAATTTTTAGGGGATAATACCACGGTATAGTCAACATCTCTATCCTTTGTACGGGTATACAGAATACCGCTATAAAAATAAAGCGAAATCGACCGATTTAGATTTCCGATCGAATCGATAATTTTGTGCGGTTTTCGTTGATCCGAGAACCACGTCGGATCGGTTAATATACGCTTCGAGACACATAAACACGCACTTGCTATTATAACGAAAAAAAAAATGTATAAAAATATTACAGTGTGTTACGGGAAAAATGTATTCAACGACTGGCCTGTTCGGATGGGCGTGGCGACGGCGTTAAGCGAAATTAATAGTTATTCTATAGTAATGTTATAATGTTACATTTCAGTTCGATGATTCGGCGCATACCAATAAAACGCGTTTAATGTACGATGACGGGCGAAAAGGTCGTGCCGGGGAAAACGTCTAAAAAGATTCAAACGGTTTACGCGTTGTGCGATAATGGGGGAAAAGAAAAGAAAAGGAAATAAAGAAAAATATTCTCATTCGGTAAACGATGTAGGTACTGCGCTGTGCTGCATGACACGTTCCTAAATGGACGCATTGTTGTGTATACCGACCGTGTGAGTTGCGCCCACGCGAGGGTTTGTCATTTCTTGTTTTTTTTTCTTAATAATTTTTATTTCCAGTACAATAACACACATCGTTCCTCCGCGCCATTGCTATACGCAGCGCTACCTGGGGACTGGTACACATAGTTTACGTATACATTTACGTATGTGTGGTACGCCTAGACGTTTTGGAATCTTATAGGTTTTGTTCCATCAGAAGTCACTGCACTTCTACCGTACGTCGAAGATGAATTCGAAGAGCAGGGACGATGCGTGTGACATCACATAATACGACGTATTATTATCTGATATTATCTGCATGTTACGATAACATTGCGGGTGCGTTCAAATTAAATCACCTCTTGATCGATTCAAGTGCTTTTAAACTAAGTTTTTTCCACCCCCGAAACGATAGTACACGCCGTATACGTGTTTTCGACCACATGTTTCGTCCGTGGAACGCAATGTCCCAAGTGTCCCGAAAGAGGGTTGATTGCGAGTGGATGGATATTGACGGATATAACGCGTCCGTCGATCACGGGTACCGGTCCAATATAATGTAATAGATCGATTCGTCGGACGTGCGAGAAATGAATTCGTTTTGAGAAAACGTCCGACGGTTGCCGATCGACTGCGGCTAACTTCCTATAGTTAATTATTCAGAAACATTTCTCTTATCGAGCGCATTATCTCGCATCGAGCATTGTACATAGTACACGTCATGAATATACTTACGTTTATTTTTTCCTCCTTAAGGACGTTCACGTGAGGTGTATCACCACATTCGCGCGTGTGTATGCAATACGAGCGTAGAAGTTCGTGATAATATTATATTTGCAACGCGTACACGCACGTTTAATATATTGTAATAATAATAATAAATGCGGCTCGTATGGCATTTATAATTTTTGCTACAATACGCGAGTTTATATTCGTTTCGACGAGGGCGTGTTTTTAAATTAGATTTATCCAATTATTTTGGTTCCACGCGTAAGCATGCGAAATACACCGCGCACAGAATCCACCGTCTCTTTTATAGGTAATATTATCATCATATTTCGATGCACATATTATACGCGAGTTCAACGGTGCTCGGGTAGTACGTGTGCGCAACGCGATTACTTAGTATAAATACGAGTCGGCACAAACGCACATTTCATCTGCACGCCGTACATATGCTAATATGTAGGTACATTAAATAATAATATTATTAATATAATTAATAATAAACGGTGCGATTGAAAAGCTTGCGGATGCATTTAACGAGATGTATACTCGCAGCTACTATATATACGTATATAGATTATGAAATACGTTCAGTGTTTCCCGTTTAAATTTTTTATCCATCGTTAATCGGTAGGTCAGCGGTGGTGGTAGGTGGCGTGGCACGGATGAAAATATGTAACATGTATGTGTGCGTGTGCGTACACAATATGCGTGTGGAATAATATTATAATAATAATAATAATAATAATGTACGTTGTATATTGTATGTCCCGCGCGTGAAGTCACCGCGTCGGTGAACACAATACACGTAGAATAAGAGCGCATTGAAATCTTCGTCTTATGGTAAGTGTTTAAAGAATAAATATTATGCAGAAGACCTTTTATCATATTTTTAGCTTGTACTAGAGAGAATATTAAAACGTGTGTTTTGCCGAAGGATACGAATAAGTTATGCGATGCCGACTGCATTTTGTTGTTTATTTATAAAAGCGTAACAGGCATAAAGTCATGAAGAATACCGAAAATAAATAATAACGTTTATGAATGGAGAACGAAATATTGTGCGAACCATATCCGTACATGATAACGTGAACAAAAAAATCGTTAACGATAACTTTGAACGTTAAAACCGATTTAAATGTTAATTGAAATAATTCAATCCAAATATTACATGTACATAACAACAACAATACAGCAGGTTGGTGTTGGGTTTTTTCCTCGGGAAAATTTGAATATCATGCGTGAATCAATGATAATGTATATAAACTGAACGAAAATATATAAATATATATATAGATTTATTATACATAATAGTTTAGGTACAATACAGCGATCTTTTCCGTTATCGTTATTTGTTTTTTTTTCTCAGGTCCGGGATAAATTGACTATACAATATTACAGCCGAAGAAGATACGGAATTGTAACTATACGAGGTATAACGTTCCATTGAGAAGATTTGTATTTTGTTGTATACCGTTCGAATGGTGGTATAGGTACCTGCTGTACAATAAATTATGTAGGTACAATCGTACACACATAACTGTCTAGCATTGTTAAACGCGCACAGAGGATTTGGCGCGAAACAACAATTTTTCAAACCGTTTCAATTGTCCGGGACAAATTTTTTTCCGTTTTAATTTACTCGACCGAGATTTTTTCTCGGCCATTTCGGTCCTCGTCATTTCGTCTCGGTTTTCACCCTCGTTATGGGCATAGATACGTACACATTATGATATGTTTGAAAGACTAATTTTTGTCGACCTTTCGGAATGCGTTTACTCACCATACATAGATCCCCACCCCGAAAAACACACACACACAACCGCGCGCGTACTCACAGCCTATATAATTTTAGATACGTGCTATTATAAAGAACAGATACGCAGTACACACGCACGCACACACATGTAGAATAATCATGTATAGCTAAAGCATCGATGTTGCCGTTAACGCATACGGCAGCAGCAGTACCTAGAGACATCGGTGTTTTTCGTATCTCCCATTATATACACCTGTCCAGGGCCACACATCTACACAAACACACACTCTCTCACATGTACACTCTCTAGCACACACACAGACACACGCACACGCACAAGCGTACGAGAGTACTGTGTAAAGCGCGAGTGCTGCAGCACGGATAGGATCGGTCCTATCCTGCGACAGAGTGGGGATGGTGGTGGTGGCAGTGGCTGCGGCGGCGGCGGCGGCGGCGTATAAAGCCGCAGACTCCTTGCCGGGTACAAAAACAGGTTTTGAACAAACAAGAAATAAACATAAAAAAAAGAATAAAAATAATAATGAGAAAGAGAACATAACGCGTATAATACCTGTGCCTTGGGTAATTCTTCGAACTCGGCTCTTTCACCTCTGCCGCCGCGGTGGAACCGAATGGAAAGAAACACCTTATCTCCCTTCCCCTAAATACATATAGGTACGTGTATAGTAGCCGTATAATATATATAACTATTTTTATTGCAGAGCCTCCGTTGAGAGAATTATCGACGTGCCACTCAGCGTCTCGACAAACACATACACACACACACACACACACACATACACACATGAGTGCGCGTGTGAGGGGACTTAACGGTTTGTCGACTCGGAAGGAAATCGTTTCCTCCCCCCTCCCTAATTTTTACTTCTCGCCGAGAAAAACTGATTGCCTGCAGTAACATAACCTATATCTATCGAACTGTTTTTGTAGTTTATCATTTCGTCCACTGTACACAAGAGATATCAAGATATCACAAGAGAAAAATCCACGAACAGTTCCCCGAACATTCTTGTTCGATGTCTTTTTTAATTGTATTCAATTCATGCTATCGCAGCATCCAGCTTTGTTACGTTTCATATTATTATATTTCGACGTCCTGTAAGGCAAAGATAATGTCTCCAATTATATCGTTCGTTGCGCGTATAGTGATGAATAGCATTCGTGTTCAGTCGCCTCCCTTTGACGTGTCTGCTTTTTGCGGGTCTAAACGGCGGTAAATAGTTTCTATTGTACGGCCGAAAACACATGTTAATCTCAATGTTCAATGACAATAATATGTATGACGAGCGTTTCTTCTCGGAAATGGGTTTTTTACTTTAACCCATAGAAATTCACGAGACGCCATGCTAATGTTTTTTGTTTAAAAAAGAACTGTAATTAAAACTGGTAAGATGTTTTGAAAAAAAAAAAAATTCAAATATTTTAGAAAAACGTTAATTGACTTTCAGGTAATAATATATACGTTGTTTGGATGAATTACACGTTTTAACAGAAAAGGATAAATAATAATTTTCGTGTTCCATTATTATAATATTATGCACACCGACACGTAAGAAGTCGTGGGGATAAGATAACAATTAAATATCTGAACAAAGAAAACATCATCCGGTTCCGCGATGAATTGGATTGGTTAGTTTAACGAAATCAAAATGGTATCTAGAAAATACGTATGCGGAAAAAAAGAACAGAAAACATAACTATACTATATTTTTATGCAGGTGGGTAGTATATTGTATATTATACATTTTAATGATACAAAATTAATATCTAAAAGACGGGTTTGTATAAAATATTTTACTACCACATAAATTATATTCGAACGTGCGCAGAATATATAATAGTGATTAATGTTTAAAATCGGCAATAAAGGATTATTAAAGAATTCAGCGGTCATGTTATTGAAGAATATTTGTTCGTTGTTAGCAAGTCTTATGTGTCCGACTTACATAAATAAATATTCACATAAGGTTTTTCAAAAGTTCTATAACGCTCTCAAGTACTCATAAACAGATGAATGTATACATTTTTGCCCTACATGATCGGCTGATCCGTATAAATATACCATGATACCATATGATATTAAGTGGTACATAAACCATGTCATTGTTTTCAAAATTCCACGTTCGCAATCAAATAATGACAAATCATATTAAGCGATGATTTTTGAAAATTTTGAAATTTTTTATATTTAATGCTTGAGAGGGGAAGAGACCAGCATAAAATTGGTATTTTATTATAACTTTTACACCTTGAACAATTGTTTTTTTTTTATAAATATTTTTATTAATAAATGGTAATACAGAAGGCATGTAAAGCGTGTAAATTGGAATTCCACGGCGCAGAGCGTAAGCGTGTGATCTAAAAAAATGTATAAAAAAAAAAATAGAACACAATTAATCTTTTTAATTGCTCTATATAGTTCTTGAGAAAAATAAACGACTCTACTTGTTGAAAGTAATATAATTACGGCGAAAAAAAAACATTTCAACTAACGAACGATATGTTGATGATATGCCTGTTCGTTAATATATGTATTAAGTACAGGTCTACCTATGTAGGATTTTATTTAGAAATGATAAAATCCACGTTGATATACGTTATAAACACGAATATTTCATTACATGTTTATGTGTATACACAATTTCAACACACGACCGTTTTCGTACCCAAAATGTTCAGTGCGTTTCGTGAAAATATTGTAAACATATTTCCGTAACGATTAAAAACGTAAAACGTATTATAGATACGTAATATTTATTTTATAGGTACACGTTTATCGATCTTTTTCATCCGACTAACGACGAAGTTCAACGTCTTTGGATTTCTGGTTTTAATGTTTTTCTTCGCATCGACACGAAAAATATTCATCGGACACATTCTGTGTGTACAGTTTGATTGCATTTTTATTGTCGGCAGATCGGCATCACGCATTAGTGCTCCGGGGGGTTTTTGGATTCTAGGAGAGACTGCGGTGCACGTACGCTGTAGTACGTATACATAATACGATTCCCAAATCGACGCATAAAATATACGTGTACACACATGTACACGCAGTCGAGTTGACCGAGAGTAGCCGACCCCGCGACGACGGTAGGACGATATGTATTCCACTACCGCGTAATATTTTGGGGGTTCACCGGATTTAAACAATATTTTTTCCCGTGTATTATTCACGCGCGTCCCGTCGTTATTATTTTAATACGTAACGCTGTGTTCGAAGTGTATAATATCGTATTATTAGTATCATCATCGCATTATCGTGTACATAAGGTTACGTGCCGCGACTAGGTGTATGCAATTATTGCTGTCGTTATCCACGCGCGTTTCCAACCCGTATATCAGTCATTATCATCATCATCATCATAATCATCAGCAGCAGCAGCTGGTGCTGAATGTGCACACCGAGTAGGCATGTTAAACGAATGGCGTGCGATGGAGGGCGCGTGTTTGTATAAATAAAACGCGCCGAACTCGTGCGACACGCGTGCGCCACTGATAATCAGACGGCAACGGGACTAGAGTGTCGTAGTACAGTTATCGAGTCGGATCAAGTCGATAGTACGTATATATATATATGTAAATCGATGGTCTAGTGCCCAAGTATGGTAAGTGACATTTAACAAACAGGTTAAGTGCAGGCGTTCGTAAGTTCGTACTTCGAAAACAATTGCAAATAGCTCGATTTCGGATTGGAATCTTAAGAGTTTTTTATTTTTACCATAATAATTATGGTAAAAACCTAACCTATAATTATTATAGGTTGTTTAACGTGTCGAGAAAAACATGGATAAACGCGCATGGAGCACCTAACTTGTTTTTGCCAAAAATGTCACATGCCACGCGCTTACGTGCCATAGACCATCCGTATAACAACTGCGTGTCCCGCGGAGGCGAATATTTTATCGAGTTTGTGTCGCGTAAACGTCGGTAATACTCGAATGGACAATCAACCGGTGTTTGGTTAGCGGTGAAGGAGATGCGAAACCAATATGATGTCTCGTTTTTCAAACGTGTACACGGTAAGAACTACCAGTTTTCCATCCAATTTATGTATTCTGATAACAAAATCAATATCGGATTAAAGTTTTCTATTGAGATCGATCGGGCCAATTTTTTTTTAATAAGAATTATATTATAAATTTAAACAATGTAATAAACTATTTTCGTAATTATTTATAGTATTAAATTAAATACATGGAATTCGTGGATATTAATCTAGAAAATTGGCCACATCGATCTCGATATGGTAAACTTTATGCTGATATTTATTGGGTTTTTTTTTTCTCGGTGGTGCACCATAACGGTCCTCTGTGTGCGCAGTCCGCGGTAGCTGCGATCTAGGCACGTGAACAAGGTTAATATTGCATGTTATGACCGCGAAAATTCTTACGAACGGTCAAGGGGTACAGCATGCGGAGAGCGTAGTGCGACGGATCGAGTAGTCTCTGTTATTTGAACACGGTACTGCGAGTGGTCGCAAGTGTTGAACCGGTGTCCGTACGAGAGTTGTTGAGAATCGATCGATGAATGCGCGTCCCCGGAAAACTCGCTAATCGATCTGTCGGCTTACCTCGAATACAACGTGCCGCGAGCATAGACGCAACTTGAGTTTACATTTTTGGACAGAGGGACTGCTATAAGTACCAATATAATACAGATTTGCAGGGGTCACGCCAACACTTGCCCTGATTTATATAGAAACAAAATTTGTTCCCGCCTACTAAAGGTTCAGTTAAAATGTTAGCAAGAAGATAAAAAAAAGCGCCATTTCGATAGCTAAATTTTGATTTCGGATATTCCTCAATAAAACGGAAGCCATAATACACCGAATAACGATTTAATAACTACGAGTATTTCGTCCGCCTATTGAGATTATGGACATATATAAGTAAATTTTATCTCAATCTCAAACACAAAATTCTGAGATTCATAATTGTTAATCTGCGGTTGCTATGGTAACATCGAGGAAAGCTGAGCTCTTCCCCTCCAAATCCCCCCTAGTTACGACTACGGTGGCTGGACCGAACGACTAGGGCGGTTTTTTCACATGACCGCTACGGCCGGCCGGTCTGAAATCATTGCTGATCGAAGGGAAAAAAACGAAAACAACCCGACCCGTCCAATGATACAAACGATGCGACGACGTGAAGACAACCGCTAAAGATGAATGGTGTATTGTATTCTCAGCCGTACGTTGTGCGATCTCACGGCCTCTGGCCATCACACCGTCCGCCGCGTGCTCGAGTTCAAGGTGACCGCGTGCTACAGGCCCGACGCACCCGTACAGCTATCGTCATCGAAGCCGTCGCAGTCGGGGTGCGTACCTTCGTGTACGCATTACACAGTATACAGATTGTCACACGAACGTATTATTATACCCGTTGCGGTACACGTTCCGAGACAAAAAAAAAATAACCGTATCCTGTTTTTTGTTTTTTTTTTGTATATATAGTCACGACTCCCGAGGATCATGATTACAAATATTTTTATTGCCGTTTTATTGTATTGGACAGCGATTTGACAAAATTCATTTTTATTTCATTACATTTGAAAAACTTTAAGATGTGTAGTCATTTGTTTTAAAATTATGGTTCTCGTTATCCTCGTGGTATTTAATATGTTATTCCATAGTCCACAGTAAAATAGAGTGGTAAACATGATGTTGTGTTTTGGTATTGACTCAACAGTTCTACTATGGTACGAAACTATTTTTCGTAAGCTATAACATACGAGCATATTAAAAAAAATATTGGGGGTGAAAAGAACGTGAAAAGTAGTCAAAAACGTCAAAATGTTCAGAAAAATAAGCTTTATAAAATGGCTTTATCCTCGAATGTTTAGAAGCAAATAAAAATTAAAAATAATCGCTTTTAAATGTTTTATCAAAACATAAAAATTGAATATTGTAATGGAAGTATAAACAAATATTCCAGCAGTGGTCGTACGAAGAGAAAAGGAAAAATAACGGCATTCGATTGCTCTCGGTGCGTCAGGCACTGTTGGTATAAGGGTGCTCTTAATTTTCTGAAAAATTTAAAATAATTAACGAACGTTCTCCACAAATTAGCACCTACGTGTGGGCGCTGCATTTTTTCATCGGCCCCGGGCGTCAAATTTTCTAGATCCGGCACCGATCACAACATATTTATGCGTCGCGTAGTGTGACGATAGTAGTTTTTTCTGACGAGTACGATGGCCACACTCACGCGAAACACATTCACGGGTCCGTCGATGCGCGCGCGCATTGAACGATTAGAAAACGCCTGTTTTCGAAGTTTACCAGCACGCGTTCGTCGACGTCGTCCGTCGTCGAACAATGTTTATTTCAGAGCCTCTATCTCGAGGGGGAGGGGAGGATCATATATTTCTAGGGTATTTGTGTAATGGCCACGAGGGTAAGTAGTTGATAAATAAATGCATTTTTCTTAGGGGGATACCCACCCGGTCATCGCCCTGAAACGAGCACTGGACGAGAATCCGTCGTACACCGCCGCTGACAGGTATTCACGAAACTCGATATCCGAAGGACATGTGCAACGACGAACCAATGGGTCATGGATCTTCTCCTGTTGGTTTGGTCGTCGCGACGGATCGGTCGGAAAACGTGTCGTATTTCTTGGCCGTGTTCTTAGCGCGCGGCGTGTGCGACGCGTAACAAAATCGAATCGGTAATCTTAAATTTAAACAACCGTTGTCGTGCCCACAACGCGGCGCCACGGTGTAAGAAATCACGTACTGAGCCTGAATCGGCTGTTAACGACTAATGCGCACTCCTCCGTCGGAAGTGGGTTGTGCATGGAACGTTTATGACGAAAAGCGACTGGTTTTCCGTTGATCATTTTTTTTCGTAAACGTTCAATGTTGCATTACTTATATTCGAATTAATTACGTTTCTCGAATCGTTTGGTTTTGCAGAGCGCTTCTGTGTTTCATACAACCGGTCACGTATTGATGTATGTATTTTACGAACAGAAATACTGACGCGATAAGTTACGATATCGGTATTTCCATCATTGTTAGTAATGTTTGATAGTAAGTAGTTTATAAAAAGGTTCGTATCCACGTATTCGAAAACGGCTAGTTCCCTTCAAATTTTTTCTCTCCTCAACTCCAGTCCGTGTAATACGTGCCCAATAAAGCACCTGTAATCCATATGATATGCATTATTTCCGTGCGATTCGTAATGCTGTATGATCCAATGAAGAAATCGATTAATATTAAATCGCCGCGTGTGTTTATTATTAGTCGTGCGCTAAGACGAGAAGAAAACATTTCTCCCGGACCTGTTGTCGTCGCGCAGCGGCGTATACGGCCATTATGCTGTATTATGACGCACGCCGCAATGTGCTGCACTACCACTTAATTGCAGGTCGGACGAATTTTTTATGATTATTGCACATGTACCGCCTTCTTGTGCGGACGTTCACAGTGCGTACAATTATTACAGTCCTCCGAACAAACGTGGTAGACTAAACGCGCGAAATCGGTTAAAGCGAACATTACGTCGTTATTATAATAAGCGAAAAAAATTGAATCCATCGAGTTTGTTCGATAGATCTTTATACGTGCTCCAGCTTACATGATTACTATGTTTTTATGTTTTTTTTTTTTTTTTTACTTTTAACTCGGTGACAATGCATTGCTTTTAAGTCTTCTAAAGTTGCAGTTATTATAATGCATAAATTAATTGGAAGTTTTAGATGGGCACAGTGTCACTCATGCATTTTTGATTAATGTCTCACTTGAATACAACGGAGCGACATAAATATTATAAATTAACAACAAAAAACAAAATGCATTATACCACTTAACATTGATGCAAAACTGCATGTAGAATTTAAAATTTTTGTCTGTTTATTATGTAGAAACAGGTAATTACATAACTGACTAAATAAATATATTAAAGTGTAAGAAATCAAGTGTTATACGGATCAGTTTTCAAAAATTATTTAAATAAAAAAAAAACCTACGACAAACCAATGTAAGATATCACCTGGGTGCAGCAAAAACTACTTATCGCGGACTTATCGTTTCTTTTGAGCAAAGATTCTCAACCTTTTTATATTCACGAGATTCTTGTATTTTTGAAACTTAATTTTACATGCATAGTTTTTTATTATTATTACTATATTAGTTATTATAATAAAAGTATTTAATGGAAAGAGTTTGATAACAATAATTAATATATTTAAAGTTGTTTATTATAATGATGATGAAAGATGCTAATTTAATGAGACGGTTGATGTTTTTTTTTTTTTTGATGAACGAGGACGTCAATATTAAATACATCAAACAATATTGAACGTTAATAATAATAGTATAATGAAAATCATATTGAGAAATGTCTTCGTGTATCATTTACGAGCTATCTTTACGTAGCACAGGTTAGGCCTGCTTTAGAGCGTTAAGAACGCGCTATGCACGGTGTCGTCGCATTAATCACAAGTGACGCAGTTGCAGATCCAAAGGTTGACGTAGGGAGCCCCTTCCCACGTAAGACTGCAATGTAAAACGGTTATTGCGTCGCATTATTTGTTATTACTTTATTTATCGAATAATTTACATATGGATAAAAAAAAAAATGTTATGCGCCCGGGCCACCATGAACATTTCTGGATCCACATTTACGCAGTGACGCGTACTCGAAACTTAGATACAACTTAGATACTTAGATGGAACACAAGATAATAAAACACCAACAATTGAAGTTCATGCGACGATTTTACGGTTAAATTTGGACAGCGAACTTAACGGGCGTGTGTGTGAACGTGTAGGATAATAATAATGACGCGCGCACAGGCGGTAATTTAATTCTCCCGACGTCATCTTATCGACCGCTGTGATAATATTATTGTTTCAGAACAACATGCGCGGTTCGAGTTTTGTATAATGGACAACTATAAATAAAAAGGCCACCCGCTGGTTACACGTTTTAATAATATCCGAATATATGCATATTATTTACGTGTAGGCATGTGCATTTACATGTATATGCATCCACACGTCTCTTGGTCGTATGTACCGCCGCCAAAGACTTCTCTCCATCGCCGTCATCGTCGAAAACCAAAATCAAAAGTCATCATGTTATCACTTCGGCCAGTTACGGGTATAACTGATGTATAATACGGTGCACACGCACTATGATTCTCGGTCATTTTCGTCTCCTGGTCCCTGCGGGAGATCGCGTACCTATATTACGACAGCGTAGGTATTCCGATCATTAAAGTTTCGTCGTCGTCGTCTAGTCATTCTTATTACATTATTTATTAGACATACCTAGTATACCTATGCAAGGTAGGTATTACAGATATTCGACATTACCAATCATAGACAAAGACACGAACCGGATTTTATAGGCTATTTACGATGTGTTCATAGTTGAAATTTACTCGAATATTTGGCGTAAATGTCATATTTACAATATCGTATATATCATTCATCGTTTATACCACGAAAAAATATGAATTAAGGCGAGAAACAAAGCGCAACAACAGTTCGTGTTCTACCACCGACTGTACAACACGTGTGCTCGCCGATAACGTTTTATAGCTCTCGATAGCACGTACATACTCCACGGCTGGCGTTACCAGGTAATAATATGATTATACACCCAATTAATCACGTTATATAACACGGTCGCCTTTATTCATAATTAAAATGAATAGAAACTCCTTGGGCGTCTCGCCCAACACCAAAACTACTTTACAAACTAAATCCCTCACCACCAACATGTCAAAAAAACCAAGTGCTTTACCTACACAAAAAAATCGCAATTCACCATCTACGAATTCATACCAACACAACATATCCAACTCAAAAACAAACCCGACTTCGAACGATAAAAATTTGCGATCTAACCAGACCCCCCTTTCCCGTCCCATCGATAACACATCAGTTTCTGCTGATATCGCAAATCAATTAACTAATGACTCCCTATCGTTAACGGAACACTCTACTCAACCCGCATCTATCTACACAAACACCAACATGAACTTCGCTAAGGCGACTGCCACGGAAAACACTCCGAGCAGAGAGCAAGCGATAGTGTTTAATTCTATCGACGGAATATCTCAAATCGATTACATAATCGCCATCGGGAAAATAGTCAAACCTAGCAACATTATCTTTGTATCGCGTATTTCAAACCATCGTTTCTGTGTATTTTTATCCAGTAAACAAGTTCTCGATAATTTAATGCAACAAACACAGACTATTAAAATTAACGATCAATTAATTCAAATACGTAGACTTGTTAACCCGAATAAACGCATTGTCATGTCTAATGTATGTCCGTCAATCCCAAACCGAGCAATACTTGACGCATTAAAACATATAAATATAAATCCGACCTCTCAAATTAACCATCTAAAAGCCGGTATCAACATGGAAGGATACGGGCATATCATGAGCTTTCGCAGGCAATTGTACATTACACACGAAGATATTCTAAAACTGCCAAACTCAATGCTAATCACCCATAACGATAATCAATTCAGAATATTCCTCACG